ACCTTCTTTTACTTTTTTCATAAAAAGTGGTTGTGTCTCCCTTACTTGAAAGGTTTCTTCTGATTGTACCTTTCCGTTCCCTCGTTACTACCACACTACCTTACAACAATCTCTTCGTTATCGTTCTCTTTTTCTTTTGTGCTCCTTAGTTTTTTTTTCTATCTCTCTTCGAATTTTCATTGTTTTGTGTGGCGCATATATATTGGCGCTCTCTTGTACCAATATTTATGTGTTCAAATAAACATAATAAACATAGTCAGTTACATCGAGAAAAACAACATATGTACTTTGAAACACTCCTTGTAATGTGTGAAATAATATACATCTTCAGTGTACCAATAGCAAAGTGAGTCGTTCGATAAATGCCATACCTCTCTGTAACCCCTTCAGTTTACCTTTAAAGTAAACCAAAAAATTCCTTTAATCGAAAAACCGAATCTTTATGTAAAAGCCGGCGTTCGATTCTCAACTTTATTATCCTTGATTATTTATGCTTATCTTAAAGTACCAATCAATAGCCATTAAAAATTCTTATTCTGTTTCTATAAACTATCTGACTATAACTACTTGTATCATATTCATAACTTGTAGTTGTTTAATAGAAGTGGTTTTATAAAACCATTTGTGACGCAATCACTGTACTTCTTTTGTTTCATAATGGCAGTGAGATTTCCGAATTAAAGTATTCTTATTTATTTCAATGGGCTTTTTAAAAGTGAATTTACTCCATGGGAGGTGAGTTGTATCATTCAAATGCAAGATAAACCTCATTGAAATTGATCAATATATGATACTTGAAACCAGTTAAGTAGTAATATTCAAATCAAACTCGATCCTAGATAAAATCCTCAAAAGGTTATTTTCATCTTTCAATAATTTCCACTCACAGACAAATATAAAACATTAGAAGTAGTCAGAGGCCGGTTTTTTAGAGATGAAGCTTATACTCACGATTTATCACATATAAATTTGTCGTGAAGTCATTCTACTGTTGTTTTGTAAGTTCAGACAAAACATGAAATGAAGTCGATGACTGTTGGTCTGAGTGATGTAGGCAGATGCAGACTATGTGGGTGGGGTATACACGATAACATCAACCAGTGGCTGGATACTGTGAGTGGAATAGCTTAAAATCGTTCGCGACTGTGTAGATGCACTCTTTATTATCCTCTCGATCTTGAATCCCGATGTTCCTCTATGTATAACTCTTCACTGTCATTTCGAATCCTACCCTCAATATCTCATTGTGATTGGTACTATGTTATTTAGATCCCTTCTGCTACACATCTTGTTGATTTTATCTGGTTATGCTAATGAAATATGACAACTTTGACCTCCACACATCCGTGCCAGACTCTGATAATGAAGCTGATTGACTGGCTATAAGTTTGGAATAAGCTAGGAATGACAGTATGTAGTGTGAAAAACTGAATGTTATGCCCAAAACATTGCGTTTTTTAAGGGGATGTGTTGTTTACTCATATTCTCGAATTATTATAACTGTATGAAGATGCTTAACTTTAAAAGTAACAGGTCAGTTTTTTAGCCTTGATCCCAATATATAGAGTACTTCATAATCTAATTCGCCATAGAACTTAGATCATACCTCAAGTAATCCAAAGCTATTGATCATACTTGAGATCGATTGAATTGTTAACTAACTGAGCTTGGATTACTCGTAGTTGACAGTATTAATAGATGATATTTATTTTTTAGTAAGCTTGCTCTGTTTTGTAAAAGCAATATAAGGTCATCTGTTTTAATTGATTAATAAATCTCATTCGCTATTATTTTGATTTTTACTGCGAACCATGTGATTATAATCTGTGCCTGAATAATCGAGTTGTCCAACATACACTGTAAACAACTCGCTTTTCGATTGATGCAAGGTTAAATTGGTATCAAAAGATTGTACAGTTGTCATTTTATCAAATTCGTGCAAACATAAGACCGCGCTTATTTTTTTTTAAGCATATATTCCGTTTTCAGGGTTCACTGACAAAATAAAACACCATCTTCATAAACACTAACAGTCAATTCAATATACACATGATAAAAATAAATACAAAAACTAGTTTACAAGTGTTTGATCTTGGATATCATCAAAGCCTTATCTGGTTATAGTGTTACTGTCAAGGTAACTGTACTTTTGTTCATCTTAGTGTTAGGTAGTTATGGCGAATTAATGGGTATGTTTTGTAAACATATACTGACTTAATCAATTAGGGCTTGTTCTGTAAATACCCATCCAACTCCTTTCTCGATGCTGTATTTAGCATAAAGTTGGGTTAGTATTAAATGAGTTATAGATGAGTAAGTTCATGAAGTCATTGGTTTAAGTTGTACATGAATGTAAAAGTTTCATTATCGGACATGAGTCTTGATAACACAGGTCCGTTCATTTGTCGACCCGCTGTTAATCTTGGGAATTTCTATAATCTCATTGCTTTTTATTCCCTCACACCTTCACTCCATTTGTTATATTCTCATATTTTTATGTTCTAACTTCTGCTACTGTAATAATCTTAAGTGATTTTTCCTCTTGTTGTTAGCTTCGGTCTACTGATCTCAGGCGTTTCAACTTCGACCAGTGCACATCTTTGCTGGATATTAGATAATATTTTTATTTGTTCACTACCATTTTAATTGGTTCATTTGTTAATATTCAGCTTTCATCCACCAAATCGCAGGTTTAAATCTCGCTCCACCTGGTTCGGTTTTGGTTCCTTGTTAGTACCACTAATCCTCACAATAAGTGTGTCTCAAAGTCAGGGACACGAGTCTGTACCTGATAAACGAGCTACCAAGTAGCGAAATTCTTAAGTTGTAGCTTAGTTGATAAGTGGTTCAACTTCGGATCATTAAGTCCTTAGTTCGAACTCCGCTCCAGTTAATTCGTTTTGTGCAACCAGGCTATGTCATTACCGCCCATGCTTATAATAGAGCTTGTTGAATAATTTTTGTTACACATTTAAACTACTGTCATATTACGGGAGAAAACACAAGGTATTCCATCCTGATTGTTTAAATAACGAGGGTAGATTTAATTAGTATGGTTTTTGTTATATTTTGTGTTGTTAGTTGGAGTTCGAAGTAGGGGATTGGAGATATTAAACGCCACTGAATAGATTTAACGATTGCTATACAAAAAGACGCTTTAAGGATGAAAACTGTAAGCTGATAAGAGAGGTTGGGAGAGAAAGGGAAATCTACGGTAATAGTCAGTTATATTCATTTAACCGACCATCACCTATTTCGTTGTCACTATATTTAATAGAAAGCATGACTGATTTGTCTTTATAAATATATATGTAATTTCTTTATGAACAGGGCTCTGTAATCAAATGGCATGTGCGCCTATTCACATACAGAACCGATTGTGCAGATTTACACCATCAATTTCATTCATTTAGGAAAGCATTTCCTTTTTAGTTAAAGTCTTTAAGATAACTGCTTCTACCTGTAAACTTTGAATAATTATACATGAGAAATAATGACATTTATGTATGTATTCATCAAGTTTTAATGTAACCAACATGATTATTGTCATTTACTGGACATTAATTATCTTAACTTCTACGTGGATGTAAGTAACAAACCCATCACCATAATTATCTGTTCGAAGTTTTATCATACTATCCCGTTTATTGTGTAATATTTTATCAAATAGTCATTAAACAGGATTATAAAGGGAGTTTGAATTACACTTTTGTGGAACACTAACTTATTGATTAAATCAGTTGTAATTAAATAATTAATTCACTAATCCGAACATCATTTATTTCTTTTCGGATAAACCTCTGTGGTTTTATTAGCACGTGTGACTCAAAGCCTAAAGTATGGAAAACCTATAGTTAGTTAATGAGTTATGAATCGCAAGTAAATTGAAAAGGTTGTGACTCTTCATCGACTACGTTGAAATTTGGATATGTGTTGCTTATGGACAATTACCGCCTACCTCAACACAATATGTTGACTGGTGTAGGAATAGGTTAGAACAAAACTGAAGACGATCAAGCTAAGACGTGGTATCAGTCTATTAACTCGTTGACCGTTAGTTTGAGCAGTGTATATGTTTCCAGATTACTTGATTAGAATCCGCGTGACTGTTGTGACTAGTGATTATAGATGCTAAGTGACATTGTGGTGTGTGCTACTTATATTGACCTAAGTAGTATATGATGTTAGTCGTGAACAGAAGGTCTGGCAGCAGAGAAACAAGAGGATCGAACAGTAAAGAATGTGAACAGGATGCAATTTGTATGAAAATGCAAGAACAATGAAGTGTGGGTCATTTTGAGACAATTGGTGGACATTTCGCAAATTAAGCATTCACTTTGTGATTGTTAGATTTTATTAATAAGTTCTGTAATTTTGTGTTAAATACATTCGATTGTCCCCACTGGTGTTCTTGTTCACTACAACATGACTCGCAATGGAACAGATGCACTCATTCTTCGTCTTCTCTTAGATCATTAGTTTTAAAATTATCTCATACTTTTTGTTGTTCAAACTCATTCTTTTCTGCCGAATCATATTGTATGTGCTAAATGTTTTCTACAACCAGTGATTCTGCCATCACTACTAATAATCTGACATCTATCTGTGCTGATATAGTGTAGCTGTTGGAACCAATGAACAGATTTATGAAGTTATAAGTTTATGACTAACTGATTGATTGATTTATGTTAAAATTGTAATAGTTATTGCGAACATTAAGCTAGTGACTATCTGGAATCGGTAGCTAAGTGGATAACATTATGGCGTTTAAAGTGAATGATACTAGTTTCGAGCCTTGGAGTGAATATCAACTCTGGGATGCAGGTACATTCGTTTAACGAGTCCCAAATAAGACGAGACGGCATCCTGAAGTTCACTGTTAGCCACCATCCATCTCTGTCTATAGTGTTTTCTTTATAATTTAACAGTAGTTGAAATTATTCAATTAATATAGTACCAATTTTTTCTATCAAGAGTTATTTATTTATTTCTAATTTCAGAAAATGGCATTTCTCATGGATTCTGTTCTAACTAATATTTTTAACCAGAATACTGAAATGCCTTCCGTTAGCAGTCGAAAATTACACTGTGATACTCTACCAATTTATACAGACTGTAGTACCAATGATAGTCAAAATCCTTCTGAATCTATCGGATCCATACATCCTTCAACAGAGTCATTACTTCAAATCAATCCGTTAATAGGTCAATCTTCAGTTTACACTTATTCATCTAATAATCTACCAACTCTTACAATTGCACCGACTACAAATATTAATAATTCCACAGTTAGTATTGAAAAGCGTACTCAACTTAATTCAAAATTTCCTATAATTTCTCAAGGTAATTCCCATTCGAATAAATTAAATATTGTCCGATGTCCACCGCCACCTCCACTAGTACCAGGGTCTGTTACTACTCATCAACAAGTCAATCTTGTCGATGTGAACTTTCAACAATGTGGACAGTCATCAAAAGATATATGTGAAGGTGATAATGCATTTTATAATTTTAATTCAATGATTCCTAAAAATGTTAATTCTACATTAGTAGTTATTGATCAGTCATCTTTACTTCCTAATGATCAAGTTAAACATGAAATTACATCAACATCATCATCGTCGTCATCATCGTCATCATCATCATCACCTCATACAATAAACTCTTCTTGTAACTTAATCATGAATGAGATGAATTTACCTAGAGAGTTATCATCATTACATAATTCTAGTCACGTTCAACAGTATAAAGAGTTTATTGACGATTTATTATGATTAATTTTTTATTATTTAAAATACAATCATTCTATTTTTTCTATGAATTTCCAATCGACTCAAGAGTTCTTTCACTGTCTTTATTCAACCTTTAAATGAATTCGATCACTCACTCACTCACTCACTCACTCACTCACTCACTCACTCACTCACTCACTCACTCACTCACTCACTCACTCACTCACTCACTCACTCACTCACACACACTATCTAATTCAAGATTTATACATATTTAGGTTATTGTGTATTCAATCTATCCTTCACATCTTATTCTGTGATATTCACAGTGTAAACTCAGCTAATTATGGAAATTAACTCAAAATTATTGACTCATTTATTCATTCACATGCTTAGCTATTGTAATTCCTCTTCTATCTTTATTTTGTAATCACATGTATTATTATTTTGATGGTTAACATTATAATTTGACGGTTTTGTCTTCCAACATTGTTTTATTCACATGTTTATTGAGTGTACATTTAAAGAAAAACAAATGACTGGATCTAGCCAATTCTATGTGGTTCTTTAGAGATTATATATTCTCTAATAAAAGATATGTTGGAAGTTTGTCTTTAATGAAATGATGTTTGTGTTTTCTTCCCGGTTATCTTTTTAATTTCTTCTTGTAGTTAACAATAATTTGTATTTGATTATCTAATCAATCTTTCCTTTCTATCTTGAACTATCATTATTTTATGCTTTGTTTATCTTTTCTTTTACCTCAAACGATTATTTGACATCTCAGTTAACTAATAATATCAAATGAGAAAGCACATGAAACTTGTGAACTATGATGGGTTGGTTAAGTTTTTTTTTTTTACGGCAGAAAATACACATTCTGAGTTGTTTCTTTTTTATTATTATTACAGTCTTCTACATAGTGAAGTAGGAATTATATTTTAATGTAAAATGGTTTTACAAGTATCAATTGACAGAAAACAAATTATTGGGCGTTAAAAATTCAATCAGCATCAATTAGCTTACATAAATATGTTATTGACAATAATAATGCAAACATCTCAGTCCTATAGGTTGTCACTTACGGTTCTAATAGTTTAGTGGTGATGTATTTGAATGTGATACCGGGGTGAAATGATCTCGTTCCTCACCGGTAGCAACAATTCTCATCATGTAAACGAGTGTCAACTAGCTTGAAATATGTCGGTCAGGGTTTCCTATCAAGTACGTGGAGTCTTCCAACGTAGAAAAGTGGTACACCGAGTAAGTGTTTTTCTAAACCAGTGATCAATAGAATTCGATTAGCACCAAGGAGTAGGCAAATATAATCGTAAGATGAATATGTATTTTTAATTAGTAATTACAATGGTTATGTTTATCGATCTCATTTAGACTATATTAATACGTAAAGAAGTGATTGATTAATAAATTCGTAGGATAGTCATCGTTACGAGACTTCGACAATGTTTACTCCTTGCCTCAGGGAGATTTGTCCAATTCCTTCAGGTCTGGGGGAGAAGACAGTTAAACGACAGATTTGCGTGTGCTCCATAAATGTTAGACATCAATCTGTCCAAGAAAGCGGAGTTTTAAAGAGAACATTACTCATTATAGTGTCACAAATAATCTTTTTCAGAGAGCCTATATCAGTCTTTTTTCTATGACAAAGGGGACATTCTGGTAAGCGAATCGCCTGAACGGTTCAGAAGATGTATGAGAAATTAATTGCTTTTGGACTGTGCAGTAAATTCATAAAAGGTCTGCTTTATCTACTTAATATTTTCTTGAATATGTTTGGTCCCATCGGTGACTACTAACATACTGTTCAGGTTTCCCAAAACATTCTAGGAGCTCATTCTTGAAGCGTAAATCAGATTTCATTTAATTACTTATTGATCACTCACTTTTTCCCTTTCAAATACTCAGACCCTCACACGTTTCACTGCACATTTTATTACCAGGTGAGGTTTTATTTCTTTGTACATAACTATTCTTTAAAATTATCTATTAAAAATGGATGTCCGTTTTTAGTATATTTGGAGCCTTCCGTACTAAACCCAGTTGACTGAGGTCATAATTAGACTGAAAAATTAAAGCAGCGAGGTTCGTTTTATAACTTGTGCCCTATTAATATATAACGTAATGACACCGTGTGGTGTTTGAATGAACTGATGATTCCTTTGTACTTGTTGAATGCTCGATTTCGAATTCCAAATACAGTACATTCGTTTGTGCTTATCTAGTACTTCTTGATCCTATTACGTTATTTCTGGGATTCTTCGTTCGTACTATAATTCAAATACTCCTATTCATCATACACCGTCAATTAAAGAACAGTGACTTATCGACCGAACCAATGACACGTAAACCCGTACGAACAGTCTTTATCGGTCCTTATCCCTGCTTAGCCCAGCCTGTTAAGTCCAGAACACCAATCTCAGCCTTTGAGATATGAATCATGTATTCCAAACATACTGGGCTTATATACAAACCAAACAGATCATATCGCACCGTAAAATAGAAAACAACATTTGTACAAGATTTAGCCAAAAGTATCTGTGAATATGGGAGATAGTAATTGATAGACTGGGCACAACTCAAGAATGATAAATCGTATAATAATAGCCCATAGGTTAAAATAAAGCTTATAGTAAGAGGAATATGATTAGTCATAGTTTAGTTGCTTAACAATTACACACTAAAAATATGTGTATAGTATTAGTTCATATATAGATTCTAACAGTTAGCATTCATTATTCTCGTCGGGATATAACACGTTTATGTAATATATCTATAGAATGATAAATAGTTACTTTGGCTTGAAATCTTTTGACCTTTCACAACATTCTGGATCAAATCTTATATAGATCATACAATCCGATCGTTTAAGACATTATCAAGTATGAAAAAAAAGGAATCAAAATTCTGTTATAGATCCTTTCAATAATACTCTTTTCATAAATAATTATTTATACATTATAATAATGAATTAAAATTAAGCTCTTTTGTATTAGAATGAGTTTTGTGGAGAATTTTAGGAAATTTCACAGGTTGAAATCATGAGTCAGTTGAAGTTAGACCACCATTGAAAACCTGGAAGCACTGGACGGCCGTTTCGTCCTAGTATGGGACTCCTCAGCAGTGCGCATCCACGATCCCGCACCACGCGGGGCTCGAACCCAGGACCTACTGGCTGTGTTGTCAATGATCATATGATTTGCCCCCCCTGTTTATACTTTCTTGACAATATTGTCATTTCAGTACCTTTTTTTGACATTTTATTCAAGACTTTTATAATTATTGTAATTACAATAGAAATACATTAAATGTGATAAATATGATTGTTGTAAAATAAAACAAACATTAGAGCTTTAGTCAATCAGTTAGTTACAATGTAGGAGCAGGCACATATATGCATCGGTCCAACTTGCCATACCTCATTAACACAACAAGATGGATATCGGATTCATAAAAGTAGTTAATTCAGAGGTGGTAATATATAAAAGAAAGATTGCAATAAGGATATAGTACAGGAAGAAAGAATTAGTTCGTAGAAAGAAAGATATGAAACAATTTTAATCTCTTAGTTTAAGGGAAGATAGAGAGTGTATATGTACACCGACAACATTTTGATCGATTCTGAGCCATATCATACACAGTCTCCAACCACTGGTTACGATAGTTACGCGGACCCCAAACATTCAAAAGTAATGATCGGTTATATTTTACTTTTAAGAAAGAGAATAGTATTATCAAAATGGGTTTCGTGAAGATTTTTTTAGAAATTTCACAAGTTGAAATCATGAGTCTAGCTTCAATTGACTCGTGGTTTCAACTTGTGAAATTTCTAAAAAAATCTTCACAAAACCGATTCTGATAATAATAATAATCACCTGCTCACTAGTGATTGACTCCAGGAGACACTCCTGGAGTTCTAGTGAGAAGTCGTTACCAGTGGAGTTCGACCAGGTCTGTTGTGAGATAGGAACTCACTGAAGACAATGGTGTACGGTGGCTTAACTTCGTGGATTGGTTGAAGTTAAACATTAACACCGTTGGATGCCGGCTCAGTGGTCTAATGATTAAGTGCTCGCGTGCGAAACCAGTAGATCCTGGGTCCGAATCCCGCAAGGTGCGGGATCGTGGATTTGCACTGCTGAGGAGTCCCATACCAAGACGAAACGGGCGTCCAGTGCTTCCAGGTTTTCCATGGTGGTCTAGCTTCATTTGACTCATGATTTCAACTTGTGAAAGAGAATAGTGTTAGAAATCCGATAGACTCAAATGATTTTGCAAATTGTATACAATTAAACGGTAAAACTATATTATTATTGATAAACTAAATAAACCTATGATAGTAGATATTTGATTTTTGCAATGATATTCTAAACATATTAGTAAATAGTATATATATTTTATTATGAATTAAGTAAGACCTAATACATTTCAAAGAACTTATGATTAAAAGGTGCTGCAACACAGAAATTCAACATTCAATCATCAATGGGCACATTATCCGACTTCTATCAATTGTTCGAAATTATCAGCAAGTAAAAAAGCACAACTTCAAATACTTTACCAAAGCGGTAACTGTTTAAAAGTAAACTAAATTAATATAATCACTGTAGAGATTGGGGTATTTTAACCATTTCTACAAATCGATATATATTGATGATAATCATGTGCTCACTAGTTTACTCGTGAGATGTGGTGACCAATAGAGTCCAACCGTGTCGGATGAAGACAGTTATCCATCTCAGACAATGAATTAAGAGTTACACAAGATTATGGATCGATTGAAGTTAGACATTAACACATTTGGAAGCCTGCACAGTTAAGTGTTTTCGTGCAAGACCGAAGGTCCTGGGTTCTATTCCCACGTACGAGGACATGATTATGCATTGCTGAGAAGTCACTTACTAGGATATATATATATATATATATATATATATATATATGTACATAACTAAGTCATTTATGATCTAAAACTGAGTAACAAGTATATAAATAATGAGTTGAAAATTCTGTACTGTTATAGATAAATCATCATTTAATGAGTTTAATGAAATCAAATGAGATTAGAGTAATGTGAAAGTGCTTTAAACGCAATGCCCTCAAATGCCCTGGTATGGCCGAGAGCGGGGTGGGTTCGCCCTCCCTCTCGAAATACTCTCACACGGTCACGCGTATATAGCCTCTGACAGGGAAGTCCTACTCACTGCCTTTTCGTGGCGTTACTGTTGTTTACGAAAATGAGAGGACGAAAAGCGAATGTCCGACGCTTTAACAGGATTCCAAACCAATGGTGCACATGGGCTCCAGTATCCTGCGGGAACAACTGGCGTATGGACCAATCGTTGGTCACCGGCTAACATGGGACTGCATCTCCTTACGATGCTCCACTGTCTTGTGGATCAGACCTTCAGGTCGAAGGCTCGAGGTGTGGCCCCCTAAGAAAACCACCTGTTTCGGTTTGGGCATCCGGGCAGTATCACAGCCCTCACACATATCGAATGAGATTTGTGTGGTGCATATGTATTTGGTGCCTCTTTGTACAAATATCTATGTGTTGAAATAAAAAAACTAAACTCAATAGTTCATTATATAAATAATATACATCCTATGGAGAACAACTTTCAAAGTTTCACACATTTCATTTATTCATTCATTTTCAGAATAAATTTCCAGAATGAATTGTTGATATCATAGCAATAATTCTTCTATGCACGTATATTGTTCATGTGAACTCTTAACCTAATCAGATGACCAATCTTACTCTAAACTAATTCTATTTATTTTTTGACCTTATTCAGGTCAGTGTATTAGTTTTTTTTATTTGAAATATAGTGATTCAATTTTTATTGAAAGCTTGATATCATTACTTACTTACTTACTTACGCCTGTTACTCCTCGTGAAGGAGCATAGGCCACTCACCAGCATTCTCCATCCAACCCTGTCCTGGGCAATCCTTTCCAGCTCCTTCCACTTGTTATTCATCCTTTTCATATCTGCTTCTATTTCCCGACATAATGTGTTCTTAGGCCTTCCTCTTTTTCGTTTCCCTTTAGGA